AAGCTTTAGACACAAGGGTCTTTCTCCAATTAAATGGCATGAAGTGAGCATCCACAATCCACATTAAACGGGGGCTAATCCCTATCTATAAGGTGCTTAATAGACTGAAAATCAGGGATTAATAGAGAGGCAAGTCAAGGACACATTAAGTCACTGAAACGCAATTAAATCTGACTTTGAGTGAATTTTAGACAGAACTTTGGATTGCAGAAATGCAAACAAAAAAACTGGACATAGCTGCTGCTCTACTGACCAAATGAATGCACAGCATATTAATGGAATCATATCAGTTATGGGTCAATACATTTTTTTAAATTATTATTATTTATTGGCATCAAATTTGTATATACACTATAGTTAAATGTTTGGGGTTGGTAATTATTTTGAAAAATGTATTCAGCAAAGATGCAAAAATGTATATCAACATGACAGTAAAGACAAAAGATGACATGTCATGACCGTTTTCCACCAAAAAAAAGTATTAAATATGAAATAATAAAGTGTTTTAAGCATTGATAATAATAAGAAGTGGACACTAAATCAGCACATGAGAATGATTTCTGCTGGATCATGTGACAAATTGGAGTAATAAATTATGTTTTAAAGGACAAGATTGGTATTTTACACTAATGCCCTGTTTTAAGATCGTTTCTGATGAAATAGAACGGTTAAGATTGAATGTGACACACATGCTGCTGGTCCGAGAGTTTTCGGTTTCTGTGGTTTATTAGCCTATTGATTTTATACAATATTAAAAGTAATTTTTAGCAAATCTCAATGAATATCCATTTTTCATATTGTAGTACATTTTAATGTTGTACCAAAATCAGTTAAGCACCAACTACTGTATATATATATATATATATATTGTGACAGTTTTTTTCAGTATATATATATATATATATATATATACTGTATATATATATATATATATATATATGTATAGCAGAAAATAGCACAAAAAAAACTAACTTGAACATACAGATCATAAGTAGTGGAAACCATGATGCTCTGCCTTCTGACTACAAGTCCACACGAAAATGTTTTGTCATCACTGAAACAAATGGCCACGGTCAAAACAAGTCCATGAATAGGCAAGTTGGCATGGAAAACATTATTCTTAACAGATACATAGAGGAAGTGTGTGGGAGAGAAGCCGAACAGCATCCTTATTGAGCTATTTCAGCTCTGGAATGCTGTGATGAACGCACTGGTGCCGGTTGCTCTGGAATTTTGGAATCCAGTCCACTGAGGTCATTCTCGGGAATGGTCTGCTTACATCATAGTCCCAGCCCAGTCTGCTGACAGCTACAATGAACGAACGAGCGGCTCACGGCGGGTGGAGGGGAGGTGGTGCAGCAGGGCGCACATCCTGAGCCGCCCGCCGCTAACACAATCCCACTATTCACTCCAGCCCCTCCCCACCCTCTCTCGGCTTCCTCTACAAGATTAAACACATCTAAGCAGCAACTTCACAAACATTCATCAGCATTCACTTTCATCCACCGTGGCAGAACCGTCCCGTACCTTTTCATTTTAGTATGAGGGACATGACGCAAGAAGCTTGGTGGATGTAGTAGGCGAACTTTTTGAAACCTGCAGGCCCAAACAGATGCTAAATCTGACAGGACAACCTACGCACCCACCAACCTCGAGCTTTGTGTAAACGAATAGAGGAAGTACATTTATAGATTTCAAAATTCTGACTTGCATAACTCTAGGCAGCAACAAACCTAAAAAAGGGTCCCGATTCCCGAAGAGACTGCCTAATGCAATACAACCCCCCAATTAAAGCACACAAACACCATTTACATAGGACACAATTGGCCCTTGAGTAAGACTGTGGGAGAAACATGAACTATAACGGAACAGTTATGTTATTAGTTTCGCCAGACATAAAACATTGAGCTATAAACAGAGAAAAAGACTTCCCAGGAATAACAAGTCACTGAAACGAAAGCCCCTGCTCCGATGATTATTTTAAAACCACCATTCACTTCCACTCTATCTGAGAAAGTGATGTTGAACATGATGAGCATGTAGCTGCCGTGGTCATTTAATTATGGATGATATGACATCCCTGCTTAAGCCAGCTTTAATGTGAGAGGGAGGAAGAGGTCTGACTGCTCTCTGACTCTGTAATGACTCATTTCTGTCTCACTGTGAGTTTTTATGTGATTACACCAGTGGGACTTTAGTGAGTTAAAGACAAATACCAAAGAAACAAAAATGATGTCATATGGTGTTGGACAGCACATGACTGGAGAAAATGTGAGAATTCTTAACGCATTACAACAACACTTCACTGGATCACCATTTCAAAAGATGTGTCATAATGATTCTTGATCAAATTGGGAATCGCTACTTGAACAGTCATGATGTACCAATTAAATGATACATGTATGGCGCTTTTTTGTAGCTCATTGTAATTGCGTGTGGGGAAAACACTGGTAAAATGCCTCTATTTTTCCTCTATGTGCAAAAGAAAGAAAGAAAATCGTAAGGATTTGGAATGAATAACATGAGTGAGAGTAAATTGTTAATGGTGTGTAAATTGTGACACTTTTTATTTTTAGGAGTACTTAACCTTTAATTTGTTGGGTGATTTATATTTTTTAGAACTGGTTCAGCTCAGAATTAATGGAAAATGTAATGTGGAGTCAGTGGCAGAAGTGGACAGAACTGGATGTCCTGTCTTTCATGTGAAGTCCCTGGTTTCGACTTACATCCTTAAGAAGACAACAGGCTGCCATGACAACAGCTCCTGGCAACACGTCTATAGGGTCTAAACAGCCTTAAAGAAGCTTTATTTAACAACACTGTTCTGGCAACACAATCAGTAACCATGGCTTACTATTATTCAGTTTTGTAAATCAGAATAATATGGTCCAAATTAACAACCCCTCATTAAAACTCCACCTGAAACCACGACAACACATTTGAATGTTTGACAAAAATGTGATGAATCCTTTTGCACCCTATTTCCTATTACAGCTATGAGACATAAACATCCACAACCAGATCAACAATTAAAGTTAAACCTGTTATGTATAATATAACCAGGATTTTCTCCACAGCCCTTCCCTTAACCACAAATCATACACAGATTTCAATCCATCTCATATCATGCCATTAAATCACATTAAAAGCAGTAACAGTAAAAGTGTCCTACATAAGGCACACTATATAATGTATTAGCACATATGACCTTTAGAGTGAATCTTTTTAAGTGTCTAGAATAAGTCACAAACAGGAAGGAAAATAAATGTGTCTATTAGAGCTGTGCTACTATGGCAAGCCATTTTAATATTTATTCCACACAACTAACCAGTAGGCTATCTATTTTATAGAGTGGTGCAATTATGACATCACTTTGTAGGCTAAAATGCTGAAACAAGTCAGAATTTTACCACTTCCGGTTCCATCACCCAGAAGTCAATGTTTTTTTGTTTGTTTTTTTTTTTAATGGAATTTTGGTTAAATGGCTGGAAAACACTTTCATGTTTTACTCTATGACATAAAATACATCAGTATTAGCCCACTCAGGATTTTTTAAGCTGTTAGGCGTCTTGAAAAAGGTGGTTTCTAGCCTGAGTTATCAGAATGTGAGTCTGATACTCAACTGGATAGACCTACAACCATTCAGAGCAACGCAGTAAGTGACGTATGTTGTTGAGCTACACATAGTTGTCAAAATAAAATCAACTGCTTGCACAATGCAAGAAGTAGTAAAATGAGTGTTGCTTCTTTGACTTGGTCCTCCATGAGTGCGACTAATGACCACAGGGTTTTCATTGCGTCCCATCTTCTTAGCAACCATCGGAGAGGGCTGAAATTGAACTTTTGGGAAATCCCGTAGGGAGAACGGCAAACACATCTTTCCGATCGACAAATGCCTTGATTGCAGTTCTCTTTTCGTCATTTAAAATTAAGGCACTGTCGATTACTTTTACAATCTATAAATCTCAATTCTTCAGCTGCAGTCAACTTTGAGGGAACCAGTTCAACCCAAGTGCTCTTTGCTAACGTGATGATTACGTAACTGCAGACCATCATGTCATGTTGATCATTGTGTAAAGCCCTCCCTGGCAATTTGATTGGCCCGACAATTTCCGAACCGATCATAATTACTCCTCAATGGATCAAGTCCAGACCAAACTTCCCAGCCAAAAAAAATGTAGTGGGCGGGGATCGGGCTGGTATACAGGCTAGGCAGTTGCTAACGATTGGCTAAATGGGACTGGCCTACATCATCAAGCAGAACAGTCCGCTGGCCTTCATTTCGAACTAGAATGCATTACAAAAGACACAGCTACAAAAAAAAAAAAAAAAAAAAAAAATGAATAAGAACTAATATTCAAAAAATAGCTTTTATAAAATAAAATATAATAGGGAACCAGCTACAATTGGAATTCATTCTAGTTGAAAAAGTATAATTAGACGGCAAAAAAATGCTATTTGTCTCGAAGCAGGTACTTGTATCGAGACTGACAGTAGCAAAAGAATAAATACTAGTAAGATTAGTTTTTTTTAATAATAGTTTCTAGTTGAATAAAAGTGGATATTTACCAATAAACCACAAACAGAACTATTGTTTGTCAGCAATATAGGCCTTTTTTGGGTATGTAACTTTTGATCGACTAACGTTAAGTAGTTCTGCTAAAGACAATTTAAAAAAAAGAAGGGGGGTTTGAACACCAAGTCAGTGGCCCGTGCCCCAGTTAGATGAATGTCCACAAATTCCCCCTTGAAAAGGAACAGGCTAAATATCAGCCGGCTTGCCATAATAAACAGTCCTGCTGTCTGACAATGCTTCGCTATAAGACTTAATTCCCTTCTGTACCAAGAATCATCTAAAAAGAAAAACACCCCACACAAATCATTCAGTTACTTAATGTATTTAAGTGCAGATTATCTTTAAACTGTGATTCATATCACCGATGTGTTAAGTTGAACAGATCTAGAGACTGAAGACAGCGCGGCCACTGAATATCACTTACCGTACACCCGCACCCATCCCTGCTGTTGGCAAAACGAGTCCATCAAAATCTCGTCGACCACTGGGTCCAAAGAGAACATGCCTCCCTGAACTGAGTCCACGTCGCCAATGGTTACTGAATCCGTCTCCATGCTCGATACAACAGTTCACGGTAACGTCCAGGTAAAGGCTCCAGTCCGGTGGATTTCCACGCGCGTGGCTGGAGAACCTCAGTCACAATGTTTTCTGTTCGTTTGTGTTTGTTTAGAATCACTGAGCTTAAAAATGGTTTAAATAAACCCACAATAAACTAGCGACAGCAGTATGAAAATGTTCAAACTAAACGTTTTCCCATTTTCTTTTATCAAAGTCGAAATACATTATGCACGCGAGACTCTAGTCTGTTTACATTAACACTGCAGTAACGTTACGTTGTCGGCAATAAAATAAAATAAGGAAATGCTAGTAAAATAAAACTTTGATAATGTATTAAAAAACGTATCAAAGCCAAAAAATACGAAAGTGCAAAGTTTTCTTAACCCGAAGCAGGAGGCAAAAATTAAAACAAAAACTAGCAACAGCTCTTAACGTTATATTGGGAAGAACTGCTGTTGCTGGCCCATGTCCATGAGTCAAGTCGTGGAAACAGCAGTAATAATTGAATGAATCCAGGCGACGGGTTTCCTGGATCGACGGCAGGAGTTTACTGCATTGTCCTTGCGGCAAAGATCATCAAAATAACAGCAAGTATCTGTTTATTGTTCTGCCGTCCACTTAAAGTGTGACTCGTTGTTTGGGACTCCCTCCCTTCCTCCCTGTCCTGTGGTGAGGAGGACAGACAGTCCTTTTCACACTTCAAAATCCAGACCGCTTTTCCACCTCAATCACATGCCATTGCCTGTGCGCTGGGATTCAGGGGAAACTAGAGGATGACCGAGAGTATAGATCAATACCTATAATGTTTTAAACCGCTTCAGTCCGGCTTTTACTACCTGTAAATTGTGGACGTTTTTTTTTACAAATCAAGTTCAGATGTACATAATGTATTTGTTGAACGTGAAAGAGGACGAATTGAGACTTTGACAGCATCGATCGACATTGTAAGACAGATGTGGACTGATGATCGAGTCTGAGATCTGCTGGTTAATCAATCTCGTGCAAAAAAATTACAAACGTTTTTCTTTTCGTTTATTTTGACATTGCTAATGGGCTTTGTATTTAGTTCTAAAGAACATATTTTGCAGCCATAACCCAGATTGAAAAATATATGTAATATATTCAATATTGGAGATATTTAAGAGATGATTTGGCGGAACATGAAATGCGGCCTTTGTCTCCCTCTATTGTTCATTTAGAAAAAGTAAAATGCACGTTCTACATTAAACATTAAAATCAGCAATTGAATGTAGGCTAAATGATCAATTTTATTTTTAATTTTACAATGTTGCAATGATCTGTCAGGAATAACACAATATTCATCGAAGGGTTTAATTATTAACCTTAAAAAAGACTAAATGCAGAACATTTATTGAGTAAATGCAATAGACCGTTTCATTCATATATTTAATGTCATTAAACTACATAATTTTAATGCATCTGTGCAATGTAGTTCTACTGCTTTCTTGTCTTCGTTGTGGCTTCAGCTGTGAATAAATAAGACACAAAAACTTCATTTTTAAAAAGTAATAAGACATCTAGAAGAAAAACATAGGCTACTTGGCGGAAATGTAAGCCTAAGGGGTTCAATGAAAAAGAGTAAATTAATTATGCACTGTTTGATATAGAAATCAAGTATAATAGCAAGTTGTTAGTCTATATGCAAATCATATAAATCAGATATAGCACATACTCAAATTTTGTGTTAATCTTGAGCAGAATAGGTCCCAATATGTCTTCGAGGTGTTTCTTCTGTTCAATAAAGTCTTGAATTGTTGCATTTTTGGTGTTGTGTATCCAGTTTGATTTTGACGAACAGATGTTTATACACGTGTTCTAGCAACATACAAACAGTGATTAGACAATGTGTACTTTTGGGTTTAGCAAACCCAGTGTTAGACAATCTGAAACTATTTCACTATGGATATGAATTATGAATTACCTTCTCCTCCTTAGTGAGCTTTCCTTGAATTTTCTCTTGATCAGCGATAGTGTCTCTGACTTCTTGTATTAATGCTTGCAAACTTTGTTTGGCCTCTGCTCGGAAAAAAAAAAAATCCTCAGTATTAATCACAGCCAGATTTTATGTGCTGAAATATTTCACTTTCTCACCAGCCCATGCAAGATACTCTGCACAGTCCAGTTTGTCATAACGTCCGGCCACATCAACAGCCTTCTCTCCGCGGAAATTGGTAGCTTGAAAATCAGCGTTGAGCTCAACCAAAGTTTTCAAAGTGTCCAGCTGACCCCACAAGGCAGAACAATGCAATGGTGAATAGCCTGCAGTGAACCACATTGATTATTTCTTGACAAACGGTTCTTCAGTGCACCAGCTTAAACAGTCCCAAATAAAGGTTCAAAAAGTGAATTTTCATGGCATTGCCATAGAAAAACCATGTTGGGTTCCCAAAAGAACTTCAGTAAACAGTTCTTAAAAAAGAACCTTTGACTTACAGGTGGGACGGTTGCCATTATATTTTTAAAACAATAATATAGTAAAAACCTAAGGTAATATTTACAAACTATATATCATTTAAAAGCTTACAATCTTTTTTATATATATCTTTTTCAAATAGGCTATATTTTTTAATATATATATATATATATTTTTAAATAAATTACAGAGTACAAATTTATCAATGTCCTACAAGAATATTTCATATTCATTGGGTGTGTTTAGGCCTGTATGTATTTTGAAATACCAATAAACATAAAAAATCATGAAAGATCTGGTTTGCAGATCTTAGCTGGTCTCCCAGCCTGGTCAAGTTGGTTTTAACCTTCTGAGACCCAGTTTTTTTTTCCTTTCATGCTATTACATTTAGAGCATATGAAACAAATGGGGGGGAAACATTTTTGAAAAAATATGTTTCATATTTTTCCGTCTACTGTAATCGACAACATGACTTTAAAAAAGACATGAAATGGCATGTATAGGCAAAATCAGTGGGATTCTTTTTTAATTCACCAATCAATCCTAGGTTGGTGAAATCAATTTCTAGGTTTCAGAATTTTTTTAAACCAAATTTTGTTTAAAGATGATTCTCAACTAACATAATTAATTGATATACCATTTTACTTTATGCAATGTACAATGGCCACATGGGTATATCAATAAGATATACACTATCTAATATGCATATTAGAAGTGTAATAAAGGGCAATAATAAATGGCATTTTCATAATAATATAATATTTCATAGCAATATTGATTTTTTTTTTTTTTCCCAATTCACTAGTGTCTCCCAAAATGCCTGATAAAAATGCTTTAGATCGGGGCGAGTTGTTCAAAAGTAATATGATCAGATTTTGGCTATCGGATTGGGTCAAATCTTGAAAATGGGTTGTTCAAAAGAAGAAGAAAAAAGAAAAGAAATAGGCTATATTCGACAGTATAGTAAAAAAAAAAGAAAGCACAAAATCTCCAGAATCATTAAAGAATGCCCAAACAGCTGTAAGTATATATATATATATATATATATATATATATATATATATATATATATATATATATATATATATATATATATATATATACATAAGAGATGAACCACCAATCAAAAGTTATTTTCGAGCGAACACAAAGTTTATCAGGTCAGGAGAATGCTGCGCAGAACGGCAAGAGAATTGAAACCCCAACCCCCAACCCCATATCAAAGTCCACCATGTCCCTATAGAGGATCCGTAGATGGTCATATGTATGAATCAGGGTGATCCATCAATTTTGCTTTGAAAAACCGGCACAAAAGTAAAATGGATTACGGGATCCTGGCAAAACATGGGATTTCCAAATCCAGATCATTCTGATCCAGATGAACATTTTTTGAACAACTGGCCCCTGGTGTTTTAAATGTTACATGTTACGTTAGCCTATGCTGTCAGAAATTCACTAAAATATAATTATTCACTAGAGAGGACAAAAGTAAGGGGATTTGGACATTATGTAAAAACAAACAAACAAACAAACAAACAAACAAACAAACAAACAAACAAAAAAACATCTACAACAACCTTTACTGCAGTAGTTCAATTAACCAAGTAATAAGAATGTTTTTAACCAAGAAACCTTCGCTAATTTGCCTACCCCGCGCTGTGAATTCATTGACGCTAGCGCCGTTCTGCACGAGCTCGCGCACGATGTCGCTCCGTCCTAACGTACAAGCTGCAAACAGTGCATTCCGTCCCACCTCATCTTTTTCCCACAAAATATTTTCCGGTAGTTTACTATCGGTGGCTAAAAGACGCTTAAGTCCCTCTACATCACCATCTAAAGCACATAAAAGTACAGTTTTCTCCTCAGCTGATCGCATTATGACTTGAGGAAGAGGGATGTTGTTGTGCGCAGCACTTGCAGTGAGTGTCTTGTCTCTATGGCAACCGGGCAATCATTTTGGTCATTATTTTCACTGGCCACTAGATGTTGCTGCTTCTTCTTTTATGAAATAAGAGTGATGAGAATCTGAGCTCAACTGATACAGCTGAATTGAGAAATGATGACATTCTAGTAAATAGCGGTCTTAGAAAGAAGATCCTAAAAAAAAGAAGGAGAATACCCTAAGAAGAAAAGAAGCACATAGCATCAACCCTTATTTTTATCTGTAATTATCAAAATAGAAATCAAAAACTTGAAGGCCTATATGTAATCTCAGCCAAGAATATGTATGTTCATAGTAGAACAGACTTACTGTATGTTATGGATCATTACACACATAAAGAAACAGGCTAGGCCTAAAAAACTAGACTGCTATTGAAAAGGAAGATCATATTCAAGATAAAATATGTATTTTAAGTCATTTATTTTGATTCTTCTAAATTAAAAGTAAGCCTATTGAAAAGTGAATTCTCAAATCAATGATGTGTTAGTATCAGTTGATGAACTAATCCACTTCATTTAGTTTTTACACCGTGTTTTCAATGAGAGGAAGAGGGGAAATTATGAGGAATAGGGAGATTTCTTATGTGGTAAATTTGTGATATTTCATTTAAAAGGGAAAAAAAATCATATGATGATTTTAAAGGTTATTTCACTTGTGATAAGCAATGGGAAGTCAACTGACACAGGGAAAGAGGCCAGATTCTGTTGTTAACACGTGATGACATTGTACATTCCAACAATAACTTCCTCATTTAGGTAAAACCAGGAACATTTATTGTTCAAATATAGCTAATGACAAGTTTAAATACCTGAAGGCTATTGCAATTCTGGGTTAGAACTCAGCATTGGTGTCCATCATTAGCACCATCAGAACATTAGACAATATGACTCATATATGTGGCAGAATTCACTCTTTTAGAAAGAAACATCATTTACTTTCGGATATTAGTGAGTGACATCATGTCATGCCACACTGGCATTTGCATTGCTCAAGGCATGGTGCGATCACATTACAGAGGAAGAGAGAGAGAGTGTGTGTTAATGGCGGTGTGTAAAGAATGTGGAATGAATGGATTCATGTCAAAGGTTTTGACTCATGTCATAGCTCTGCTTTCAAGTGTCCACACCTGACCTGTGCATAAGTCCTGCTCTGTCATTGAAGTCTATTTGTAGCATGTGTGTGTTCAATGAATGACATGACTGTATTTCCAGTTGCTCTATTTTAGGCCAGAGGAAACTTTTTTTATGATGCTGGTCTGTAATTAGGAATATTGGGAGCAGGCAAATGAAAGGAAAAGGAAAAGGAATAGAAGTATCAAATGGAAAT